TACACTGTACTTCCTGAACTGTAGATATTTTAGTACCATTTTCATAATTGTGTCATATCCTTATACCTCTTGTCTGATTATTTACTTAATATTTTTCCTAAATCAATTTCTACACTGTCTTATTTTTAAAACCTAACTTTTCTTAGTAATATCTGTGAAATCATGGGTTTAATGGGTTAGTTGTTTTTTCTAAAAATACATTACAATGTATACATACTAAAATGAAACTTTTTATGCCTCTCAAATAACCACTGTGCATTTTACATCTTGGGAATATGATTTGGTCTGTAAGAGTTTGATATAATTGATAAAAATTAAGAATTGTGAAGTAAGGATCTTTTCCATCTGGATGTCACTCTTCACTTGGTAGAACACCTGTTCCTGAGAACAAACAATATTTTGAGAGTATAGTATGAGAAAATTTGTTTAGTTCCTTACATTTGTGTTTTTTTTTTTTGCCTCCTGGGTAAACAGCTGAAATGCTTATTCCCAGGACCCTCCTGAGAAGTTCGGGCTCTGTTGGTCTGTGGCAGGGTCTGGGAAATCACAGATGCCTTCACAGAAGTATGAAAAACATTGCCCTAAGTAAGAATAACAATTGTTATTCTTCTCTGAGTTAACTAAGAAGGTTTAATTGAGCTAACTTTTAGGATTGTGGCTAATGCAGACATATCTGTTGGTGTCTTGATCAAGTTCTTTTCCTTTTGTCCCCCCCAAAATTCATAAGTGAATGATACAGGGATAATAGAAGACTCAAAGGTAATTGCAGGATTTTCATATACTATTTCTGTGAAGGCCTTTAAAGGATCATGTTTTATGAGGGCCAAGATGCTTTCCATGGCTGCCTCTGAGGCTGAAATCAGACAAGAGTGTGGTCCTGCAAATCAAGCTTTAGCTGCCAGAGACTAACTGACAAGCAAGCTTTCTCTGTGGCTAAGCCAAAGAGGTCAGCTTCTGGGGAATGAGGTCAAGTTCACTGAGCAGGACAGGAGGAACAGCAGGGGTGTGCAGATTTGTGAGTCAGGACAGGGAAAAGATGTGGAGGCAACAGAGGAGGTAGCAGAGAGGATGTGGAGGTAATAGGTAAAAATGCAGATAGAGTCAACAGCTGGCTCAGGAAGACAGAGCTGGAGCTTGGGTCCAGGGCAGACAAAGACAGAAAGAGAAGTCATGAGGTAGAGTGGGATTGCGTGACATTTGCAGATACCGATTGCAGTTGCTATTTTATGTTCTTTCACTATGTAGTCAGTGGCTGGCACACTAGAGAAATGTGGCCTGAATGAGAGGTACTAATATGTGCCTAAACTAAAACGACAACGTGAGAATGAGAATATGAATGAAAGAGTGAAATAGGGAAGGAGTCTGTAACCTACTAAGATTCCATGTTTTTTAAATAAATGGTTTATAATTATTTATTTTTATAATTATAAATAATAATTATAAACCATTTATTTTTAAATAAGTGGGTGCTTATTTCTCCCTCTAAAGTTTCAAGAGAGAATTAGACCTGCTTAGGGAGAGAATTAATTAATTTTTCTCTTTCCTAGAGTCTTAAGTAAGGACAGAATTTATCAGACACAACTCATTAACCTGGTAGGCGCTAGTATCATATCTACTTTAGCAACTCTCTTTTACCAGAAGCCATTTTCTTAGCACATTTTCCTCTTCACCCTAGATGTCTGTGTTTATAGCAAGTTTAGATCATATAGCACTCGTCAGAAAAAGTTGGCAATAATTGACCCAAAGACTTTTTTTTTTTTTTTTTTTGTCTTTTTGAGCATCAGATCTTCTTACAATCTGGGAAGGATCAACTACAATGGGGCTCCATTTATAAACATGGAAGATTAACCATTCTCATATTACAAATACAAAATCAGAAATCATAAGCACTGAGAAAACATATGTACAATATCACAGCTTGTGGAAGGCTTTTAAACTTTTCCCAAGTCAATACCTTCATTCTCAAATGATTTTCATCCCTCTTTGTATTTATTCAAATTGGAAATGGCACTTCACATTTACAGTTCTTTATAGAGTCAACACACTTAACAAACTTTAGCAGATCTGGTTAAGTTGCTTACAACTCTGTAATACTACAGCCCATCATGATTGGATACAGCTGTAAAAAGAGTAGAAAGTTAAAGCATATTTCTTGAGCCTTGTTGACTGGCACCTGGAATCATGAACATGCTATAATGACAGTATTGATAATAGTTAACATTTATGTTCATGATGTGCCAGGCACTGTGCTAAGCATGTTCCGTGGATTATTCTATCTTTTCTTTCCAATAGCCCTATGAGATAGATAGTATGATTATTCCCACTTTTAGATGAAATGAATGAGGTTTAGAAATGGCAAATAACTTGTCAGTGGCCCATGTCTAGGAACCAGAAGAGCCAGGATTCAGATCCAGGCTGTTGGGCTCCAGTACCCATATTCTTCCCACCATTCACTATTGTCTCTCATGACTATGACCAGAAAATGGTATTTGGGAAGATAGCCCTCTGACTCATACTCATCTGCCCCCAGAGGCACGTAGAGGTGGTGGTCCAGGAAATCAGGCTTCTAATTTTTCCAGCTTTTGTTAACTTTTCTCTATCTGCTCTGATCCTGAAACTACTTCACTTCACTGACTGGCATTCACACACTCAACATTAGTGAGGTGAGCAATAGATTTTCAATATACTTTTTAGTTTTGCAATGTCTGTTTTGGGAGGGGATTCTCCCGGAGGTGGGGACCATTTGTGCATGTGTAGAGGTTTAAGAAAATCAGTCCTTCGGGAGGCCGAGACGGGCGGATCACGGGGTCAGGAGATCGAGACCATCCTGGCGAACACGGTGAAACCCCGTCTCTACTAAAAAATACAAGAAACTAGCCGGGCGAGGTGGCGAGCGCCTGTGGTCCCAGCTACTCGGGAGGCTGAGGCAGGAGAATGGCGTAAGCCCGGGAGGCGGAGCTTGCAGTGAGCCGAGATCGCGCCACTGCACTCCAGCCCGGGCGACAGAGCGAGACTCCGTCTCAAAAAAAAAAAAAAAACAAAAACAAAACAAAGAAAATCAGTCACCACTCAGTCCAGAAGCTACTGGTGCAGTGTAGTGGAAAGAGCTACAGATACAAGATTAAACCTAGGATTTCTAAACTGGCCCATGAAAATGAGGTATCTACATTTCTAGCAATATCTGGTCTCATAAGGTGCATGAGAAAAGTCTCTCTCTCAAAAATTTGAAGACATAGCTAACTATTGATGTAATCTTAAATTTTCAGTTGATGCTCAATAAATATTTATTAAATTGAGAACAAGTTTGGGATGAATATCACAGGATGGATTTAGAAGTGCTTTTCAACTTTAGAGAATGCACAAATCACTGTGAACAGAGGTGGATGAGTTAGACCTTATTTTAAGAAAAGGAAATGACACCTTGACTAGTGACTTTACTATTAGTATTAAGTTAGAAAGATGCGTGAAATCAGCAACAGGGTAAAGGAACAGTTTAAGCAAAGTCTTGGAAGTGGTGATAAAGGTAGAACATGTCAAGAGCATGTTGTCATTGCACCTGGTCTCAGCATGTGGCAGTGTAAGGAGAAAGACACAAACTTGTGCTTTACATCCTTAGAAAAATTTTAAAAAGAGAAAATGACCAAAATAAGATTAGAGGAATTGAAGAGGTCTCATCATGGATCTCTTTGGGGATCATTTTCTTTGTAATATTCTGAAGCTTATGTTTTATTTTTATTTTTCATTTTTTAGTTTTTTTTCAAGACAGAGTCTTGCTCTGTCACCCAGGCTGGAGTGCAGTGGCATGATCTTGGCTCACTGCAACCTCCACACTGCAGGGTTCAAGCACTTCTCCTGCCTCAGTTTCCCTAGTAGCTGGGATTACAGGAGTGTACCACTACGCATGGCTAGTTTTTGTATTTTTAGTAGAGACGGGTTTTACTGTGGTGGCCAGGCTGGTCTCGAACTCCTGACCTCAAGTGATCTGCCCACCTCAGCCTCCCAAAGTGCTGGGATTACAGGCATGAGCTACAGTGCCCAGCTGCTTATGTTTTATAATTAGAAAGAATGATCCTCTGTTTATTTCATCTGTGATGGAGGAAAGGGTTTAGGGTTCCAGGAAAACAAAAGTGGAGAGTGTGAGTTCGGCCAGGTCCCCCAGGCTGCAGCCTTCAGCAACATGGAGCCCTCCAGTGGTGGGAGGTGTGGCTCATGTGACAAACGATAAGGCAGAAAGGTAATTAACCAATAAGAGACAAGGTGTGACCGAAAAATGGAGTTTGCGCACCTGATTACTAATTAATCAGGCGTGAGAGCACCTTGTAGATGCATTCACTATTTAATTATAGCAGCCTCTCTTGGCAAAGGAGCATATGTTCCCAGCTTAATCTACTGGTTTATATTGACATCAAATTGTCATTATCAGAAAGAATCAGGCCTTTTGATTATTTCCACTAATTTATTGAACACTTAAAATTAATGAACCCCAGTCCTTTTAAATGTGCTCAGTTGGCTTGGATGATGGGAGGAGGATAGTGGGTGGGGAAAAGGCTTCATTAAAAGGACAATTTGTTTGGATAAAGGTAAAGCAAATACATTTCATGGATGGTCTGAACTCTATTGGTGAAAAACACATGAATTCTAAAAGCTGAGCCTACAAAATGATGAAGAGAAAAATAGGATATGAGGTATATGCCCTGCTGGACACCATTGGCCTCCAGAGAACATATGGCTAAAGGTTTTGTTTCTGTTTTTGTTTTTCCTAATTATTTATGTGCCGGTTCTCTTGGAGACATTTATTACAGTTAAGTTTAATCAAATGAAAGCAATCAAAATCAAATGTTGGAAATCAATTGTTAGATTAACTAACAAGGATTTCATTTTTTGTTTTGAAAATTTAGGCAACTAGAATTTAGCATAAATTCTTTTTTTCTCACATGTAACTATCTTTAATATTAAGATGATCTTTGTATCACATGCAAGTTGTGGCTTTTGGTATGTAGTTTCAGGTGAAGGCCGAGTTCGAGTCATTCTCTGGGTGAAGGAAGGTATGCCCCCAACTATTTCAGGTGAGTATTAACACACCAAATAGAAGTGTCTAGTATAGCAGAATGTCCTCCAGTAGTTCTACAAATTCCACCTTGTCATACTGTTAATAAACAGGCAGATATCAGTCCTAAAGCTTATAAATCTGATAACTCTCTATTGTGTTGCCCTGTAACTAAAATATGTATCTGCATGTCAAAAAATGATATAAAGGTGCATTTATTTTTCAAAACAATGAAAGTAAGAATTGAAACATATTAATAAGCACATTTCATAAATTATAGACCATATGTGCACATAGGACTCCAGATCTGCAGATGGGCTATTAGGCCCCCTCCAAATGGAAAGAAAAATTCAGGGTATCTCTAAACTTTAATTGTTCCTGGTAATTTCAGGAAATCAGGGTAAACAAACCCTCCTCAAAAGTCAGATCATTCTGTGAAATCTTTCTAACTCAAAAAGCCAAATTCTCAAAGACTAAATGTCTCCTAAGCACCTTCTGATGTATTTCATTGTTTGTTTTTGTTTATTCTGAGTCAATTTAACTATACATTTGCAGGAGGAATAAATCTTTTCAAAGGCAGAGGTTTCTTTTAATTTTTAGTGGCATTTTTGTGCTATGTCAGAGCAGAGCCCATGCTAATCAGAAAATGATCTAATTCCTTCATTTAAATTAATAGATAAATGAGGTAAGAGAACTGGACTAAAACTGTAAACAATAATCCTGAAGGTTACTACTCCATATTTATTGGGCTATGAAGAATGTGATTCAAGATTGTTTTCAGTATGTTTTCTGAGCTGCCACACACTTTGTTTTTTATGTTCCTTGTCCTTCATCTCTCTGTGCCTTTAGATGATTCAAAGTGCCTTGTTTATTGAGTGCCTTTTATGCAAGGTGTGGGGGATACTGTGATAAGCAAGATGGAATGGACTTTGACTTTATGGGGTCTTATGATCTCTTGGGGATGTCAGTCAAACTACTAAGTAATCAATTAATACAGTTGTTTTAAAATAACTGTTACAAGGAAAAGGATAGTTCTCTCTTCTCTGAAAGTTTCTATGTTCATATTCCTCAAGAAGAGATTTGATTGGTTGTGTCACTGCCTAGTCCGTAGAGGATATACCTCTTGGGGAAGCTCTCATGCCAGGCGCCCTTCTGTGGATACTGGACCGTCTATGAATGGCCATTCTTGGCTCAACCATCTGTAGTCAGGGTGGTGTTACTCAGCACGTAGTATGATGATTTCTGTACTAAGGATTCTTTGGAAGGACGGCGTGGTGTCTAGCATTCAGAGCTTTTTAGAAGGGGTCAGTTTAAGTGGAGATGCTTCAATTACAACTGCTGATAAATAGAAAGCCCATACTTCATAGAGTTGTGGATTTTAACAAAGGTGGAGACCTTACAGGCTATCCTATCCAGTTGCCTCATTTTACAAATGGGGATGTGACGTCCAGAGTCCAGACATTAAACTTAGTCATATCAGTAGTCAGTCATATGAGCCTAGATAAGAACTCAGGTGTCTCAGCTCAGCCCAGTGTTCCTTCTGCTATACAATGTAGCCTCTAATGTGCTTACATTACCTTATTGAGCATAGATTAACTTATGAGTTATATTAAAATCTAGCCAGTTTCCCTACCTCATATAGTTTGGGACAGAAAACTATTTCAAAACACAAAGAGTTACAGATTTAGTACAATATCATTCATCAGGAAGAAATTTTAAATAACATACTTCCAAGACATTGCCTGATTCTCATGATATGTAGCATATGTGCTAATGCCAAAATTTAAACATGGTCATGTATTTTGTTTAGTGAGTAGCTCTATGTAAAAGAGTAAAATTATTGCAATATCACTTTTTTGCCGAAAATAAGAATGAATGAGTGAATGAGTTAACACATCTATCTGTGTTAACTCATCTATCTGTGTTAACTCATTCATTCCATTGTTTGAATGGGTCAATCCAATGTTTGAATGAGTTAACCATCTATCTACATGTTAACCCATATGAGTATGTAGTATGCACCCATACTAAGTGCACATATTGTCCATGGTCATATGAGAACATCCAGATCATCAGGGATTCTTTTCCTAAATTTTCCCACAGACTTAAGTTTTTGTTCCTTTCTTTGATCTCTGAGATTCAGGCAGCCCTACTCTTGTTCAAAGTTAACTCACCCCTTCTTGCATCTTCCACACTTTCCCGCATCAGCAAACAACTCATTGTCTTGTGTAGTTAATCTTTCTTTCCTTACTGGCTTCTTCTGTTCAGTGCCTCCCAATTAAAAACAAAACAAAACAGATTTGTGGATATTGAATTTTCCATTAGCAGACGCTGTCCTGCAAAATTCTCAAAAGCCTAGCCTCGTCTTCCTGCAGAGCCATGAAAACCTGGGTTGATGAAGAGCAAAGGTGTGGAGGGCAACATTTGGCTCATATATCAGGCTCGAGACCACCTAAAATCTTAGCTGGCTGTTGAGTGACAAATTTCTACAGGGAAGCAAGGAGAGGCCTCATCAGGAATGTTGGTCCAGACCAAAATTCATGGGCTGCAGTTTTGAAACTAGTCTAATTTATCTAAAGATTCAGAAGACAGATCAAAGGCTGTGGTTCTCAAATCTTAAGACTGTTCATTCCTCAGTGAGCTTTTTGGATGATCTGACCCAACATCTTTCCTTCCTTACCTCCAGTGCATTCCTCAATCCACTGTGATGTGGTTTCCATCTGAACCACTCAACTGGGACTGCTGTCATCTGGATCACCCATGCCCTGATTGCTAAGTTTAACAGTCACTTGTAATTCTCTCTCTTACCAGAGCTCTACTATTAACAAGGTCACTTGTGCTCTCTGGAGACGCTGTATTACTTAGGATTCCAAGACCTTCCTCTCTTCTGATTCTCCCAGTAGATCTCTGACTGATGCTTCTTTAACTCTTGGAGGCTTCTTTTTCTCTCCACAAATTTGATTGTCAATAGTAGTCATATAGAATCCTAATATTAATTGTATAGAAATCTGATAACTCTGACAGGAGACTGAAACATGTTTTCTTATCCGTTAGTGTTCTTATCTTAAGACAGGATGGTATAGAATAATTAAATTTGTGCATAATAACCTTCCTTCATTAGAATAGCTACCTGAAGGCCTAATTTGTCCAACTAAAGACTGTGTCAGCCCTCTTATAAGCAAGAGTAAAGGTGAAAAAAGTACAGAATATTTGTTTCCATCATCTGTGATATAAAATTGGAGTAACTAAAGATTCCTGGAGCTTGGCATGAAGTTTTAGAGAACAATCGTTGCCTGTTTGAAATATCACTGGAAATGAGGCATCAGAGACATTTTATCTGGACTTTGTGGGGCAAGCTAGGGGTCACCCTCACAAATACCCCTACTCAACCCCCAACTGGGTATTTTGGGTCTAATATTGGGAAGAAGGCAACATTGGGAGAAAACTTAGAAAGGTATTACAGTATTGGAGTTTATGAAATGTTTATAAAGCCTCTTACTGAGTGATCCTTATTCCAAGACATTGCCTTATTCCCAAGGTGTGTGGTATATTTTGTACTAATTAAATTGCCTATGGTTTCTGCTTGACCACAATCTATATACTTTTAGGTTATCCTGGAGCTCTAATTAAACCATGACTACTGAGGAATTGGGTCTGGTAGAAAAAATAACTAAGTGTTCCTCGTGTTTCTGGCATCAGGCATTTTCCCTTTTCACCTTGAAATCCTCTGGAGCTGTTACAACCACCCTCAGAGTTTCAAATACAGCTTCTAGGGCGATGATGCCAAATTCATCTTTGGGCTCAGAGCTCTTCCCATCCTTCCAATTCATATTTTTTCCACTGCTTGCTGCATAGCTCCATCTGGAGACCACAAAGATACCCCAAATGCCCTATGGCACAAACTGTATTCATCCACTTCTTAATAATACCCTTAATGGGTTGGAAGTCTCTGGCCCCTCCACCTTTGTCATCCTTCATACTCTGGCCTCTGTCTATTTTACCAACCTTGTCACTTACCTCTCTTCTAGCCCTGTGGTTCAGCAACACCAAATTTCTTATCATTCCTCCAGTGGACTTCCCATTTTTTGCCTCTGCTCATGCTCATCCTTCTGTCTGCAGTGCAACCCTCTTGCCATATACTCATCACAACCTCCCCTTTACCTGAATAACTTCTAAGCCTTTAAAATGCAGCTGAGATTCTACTTCCCTCAGGAAGCTTCTCCTGGCAAAATCTTGCTTCCTTTCATTATCAGGTACCATTAAAAAGAACTCCCCTCAGTGCCTGTGTAGAGTTTTTATCCTCTTAATACTGACATAACACTATCAGTTCCTTGGAGGCAAGGGTGACATTTTATTTCTTTTTGTATCCCTCCTTTTCAAGGGCAGGTCTGATAGAGAAGGTGCTCACTATTTATGTTGTAAAATTAGCAAATCATGGACATGATTCCTTCCCTCCCCTCAAAAGAGGAGGCCTTTTCATTCTACTCTTTTGAGGCAATCTCTCTGCCCTTCTGACTCTGCACTAGTAATCATGTCCCAGAAAAGAACAAGTAGATATGGTTCAGCATGGTGTTGTGCGTGATGTGATATTGGATAGTTCCCACTGGAAATTATTAGATTTACATTTCAATTATGCAATGGAGATACTAGTAGAACGGTTGAATAGAAAATGCCATTTGATCATCAAAGGCAGAATCAATAGAAACTGGTTTGAATGTATGATCTGTCTGTAAGTTACTGCCCTGAGAAGTTTTTAGATTATTACCCTGCCTTTAATATGTACGGAGAGCTGTGGGAAGAACATAACCTTTGACTCAGTCATTCCATTGAGGAATGTATTTGAAGAAGATAATCAGGATTATTGAGAGATTTGCATAGAGACAGTTAACACTGCATTATTTACAATTTAACAAAGTAAAAAGAGTCTAATGTCAGACAATAGGAATTAAGTAAATTACAGATTTAAAAAATATGATATGTAGCCACTAAAATTATGTTTACAAGGCATTTAAATAATATGATAAAATGCTTAGGAAAATAGGCTAAGCTAAGCAAAATTCAAACTGGGTGTAAAAAATAAGAACAGGATTTGATATAATCTCAATTATGTAAAAATTCTGAGAAATTCTGGAAGGAAATAGAAATAAAAGGTAGTTATTGCAAGGTAGTGAGATTATAGGCAATTATTACCTTTCTTTATTTGCATTTTCTAAATATTTCATGATAAGCATGCCATATTATAAGGCAAAACACAAATGTATAATAACAAAAGTGGGATATTTTTCAGAAGTGAAGGTAATCTAAGGATTGAATAATTACTTGCTTTTTAGCTGATAAATATTTGTACAGAAACTTATAAAATGTTAAAAGACAACTTCTTTGGGAGGTGAAAATACCACTAGCATCCTAAAATAAGGATAGTATTTGGAAGTTATCACAATGAATTCGATTTTCAAAATTTTTTTTTTATTTTCTAGCTTCTACCTCTGCACCTGAATCAGCTTTAAAATGGTCCCTCCCTGAAACATGGCAAGGTGTTGAAGAAGGCTGGGGAGGATACAACAATTCCCTTCCAGGCCCTGGGGATGACGTTCTCATTTTACCCAGTGAGTAAAATAACCCAGGAGATGAATCACAGACAGGCTGAACCCAGCCAGATCTTACTATGTTTCATTTATATTGTACAACACAGTAACGAGTATGAAAATAAGTAGGCACTTACGTTGTTTCATTCTTCCTCTTTTTTGGGGGGTTAATGTAGGAGAGCAATTTCATAGACCAGTGAAATCCCCCAACGTTAACCTAGCATATCTTCATTAAAAGTGGAATAAGTACTTGTGATGCTGAAAGGAGTTAAAATAATCCACTAGCTGGTTAATTTTCTTCATGTGTCAGAGAATGGATTTACAGGTCAGAGAATGGATTTACAGGTTCTAGTATCCTTAAGTTGGAAAGACACAGAGGGTATGGAAGAGAACAATTTATTAATGTGTTCTGGTGGTTTGCCTTTGTGAATTTTGAAATACAGGACTGAAGAAAAATGTCAAGCTCTTCGGTTGCTATGAATTTTCAAAATTGCAGAGAAGTAGGTTAATAAAATAGAAAAATATCTATCTATATATCTATTCATCTATCTATCTAGACCTATCTTCCAGTATACACATATATTTTTAAAAAGATGATTTCTTAGATATACAGAAACACACAGTCATACTTACAAAATTCTTCTTATTTAAAAGAGAGTTTTCAAAAGTTCCAGAATATCTCCCTAGCCTGAGAAGAAAATGTTTTTCATAGGACAATTATATTTTCCCCAAAAGACCTAATTACATTTATGGTTTAATTTGAACCTCTTAAGATAATAGTGAATAAAAGAAGATCCGTAATGGAAGAACATTTAACCATCTGTGAAGTAATAATAATGATAATGTCAAACATTTACTGAGAACTAACAATGTGCCGGGAACTGTTTTCCATGTACCAACTAATTTAATCCTTACAATAACCTTATGAAATAAGTCACATTATTATCCCCATTTTTACAGATGGAGAAGCAGAGGCCTATGGCAATTAAGTCACTTGTTCGGGGCCCCATGGTTTGCAATTAGGCAGAGTCAGAATTTGAACCCAAGCAGTCTTTCCTCCAGTCCTCATCTTGAACCAATAAAGCACATTCCCTTTCTAAAATGACTACGAGTAAAATAAGAGGGTCACTGTATTCTTTGCTTTATTTGTGTGGCAGAACGAAGGAAGAATGAAACAAGATATACAAGCCACCTTCTTCCCATTGGTGGTGTGTTTGTGTGACTGTGCCCAGAGACACAAGGGACAGGCGTGGGTGGGCTGACCAGTACAAATGTCAATTATTATTATCATCCCGCTTCCCCATCAACCACCTCTCTTCGATGGAGGATGTAACTTTTTGAATAAACAAGCTTGTGAGTCATTCCTATATGAAAAGGAAAAATCTGTTCTGTCTCAGCCATGTCTTTGATTAATCTAGCCAGCGGATTCGCCCTGGGCTATGGTTTTTTCCTACTAAGCAAGCTGCTTCCCCCACCCCATGCAGGAAGCAAGAGAAGCTTTTGAAGGTTGCCAAGCTTTTAGTATCCTTTGGAGTTTTTATGCCGAGCAAGGAGCCATCTTGGACATCTTGCTTGGCCCTGCAGTTGACTGTGTCCACTGTGTGCCCTGGGTCCCGGGATCCCTGGCTTTCTCCACTATCCTTCATTCCTTTGTCTATGGTCAGCTCATAATAACATAGTATGGGCCTGAATTCTCCGTGACACTGCTCTTAAATAGCACAAATCAATGCTGGGTGGGGGAAAGGAGGTGGGGCACAGACATTGGATGTAGAGAGGACTTTCCAGTTGACCTTTCAGTGTTATTGTGAGAATCAGAAAAGTTAAGATTTTTAAAATATACACGGTTATTTTTCATTATTTCTAGCTTTCACATGAAAAGACAGGTGAGTGAAAAACAGATGTGTAGTATATAAAAAATAAAATCGTTGCTCATTGCCCCTCTCCTGTTCTCTAATAACCCCTCTTCTATCTTCAACAAATGACCTGTGATTGATGAGCAATTGAATCCATTGTACCACTCAGATTGGGGTCTTATGCAGGAGCTGCTCTGCCTTACTCTTCCCTTCTGATTTTTGACAGACTGATATTTTGACCACTAATGGGTCTCTGGATTGAATCTAACTTTGTTTTCTGCTTGTGGTTTTGTCTCTCTCTGAACTCTTCACCTTTTCCTGGCTCCCCTTGTTTCTTTCATTCCTAGCCTTCTTTAAATCAAATAAATTTGTCCACCTGACTGTGGCACAAAGTAGACGTTCAGTAAGCATCGTTTGAATGAAGTGCATGAACTCATTGCTCCCATTCATAATTCAATAGCAGAAATAAATCTTTGGGTTTGACAGGATTGACACATACCACTCTAAGATTTTACAGTCTGGAAAATAATGTCTTCTCCTTTGAACAGATTCCTAAGAATTATGAAATGATTTTCATGATGATAGTAATGATAGTGATAGTAGCAACTATAACTTGAGTGCTTGGTGTGTGACATGCACTATACTAAGTATTTTAGAAGGATTTTTTTTTCATATAATTCTCACAACTACTCTATAAGTGGATTTTGTTATTATCCCTGTTTTTACAGATGAAAAATCTAGGATGCAGAGAGGGTAACCTGCTCAAGGTTTACCCAGCTAATAAGTAAAGAAGCTGGGCAGAAAATCAGAGAATTTAAATCGGGAGTTCTAACTCTTCATTGTATCTTTCTTTTTTCAAAAAAACTTACCATCCATACCGCTCTGATATCTCCAAATTAGGCTATATATTATATTGAATTTATGCCCCTCTCTTTACCATCCACGTTCTTCCCTTAACTTGAAATAAAACAAAAATAAAATAAAAAACTACTATTTGTTGAGTATCTACTGTACGTCAGATACACTACTTGAGGCATTTAATCTTATCACACATGCTTGGAAAAACTGGAGATACTTCCCAAAGAGGTATTCAATGCAATGAACCATTGCATTAGAACCATTCTAATGCAATGAACCATTAGTAAATGCATTTGCTTTGCATCTGGTAGCAAATGTAGTTGTAATTCAAATGAACACCCCCTTTCCAGTTCACTTTAGCAAATATTTACCAAACATTCACTGTGTTCAAGGCACAGTTCCAGGTGCTCACGATCTGGGAACCCAGTGTCAAGTACCATATAATAACTGTGACCTCAAACAGCTAGGGATTTAACTGGGTTAATAAAACACACAATGCACAATAATACAGCAAATAGCCATAATAAATACTGAATGTGTTTAGAATCATAGTGTCTCTGGGGTAAAGGTGGCTTCATGGAAGAAGAGGCATATGAAGTGAATTTTGAAAGATGAGGTAAGAATTAGAGGGGCAGTTATGAGACACAAGGGCTTACTGGGGATCCTTCAGGGTATAGGATGAGCTGTCGACTAAGATAAACCTGGGGTTCACATTTGGCTTCTGACATTTACAACAGTGTGACATTGGACAAGCTGTAAACCTTTCTGACCCTTATTTATAACATTAGGGCTATAATTAATATATCATAATGTTAAGAAAGATGAAATGAGATAACATCAGTGCACATGACCACCGCATAGAGTTTTGGCGGTAATGGAATTACAGATGAAAGCTGTGATTTGTAATGTATCAGGTGCTCCTTTCCTTCATTTTTCCATCTGGCTGCCCCTCTTGGCCTCTGGTATTAGCAACGCTTTGTATTTGCTTTCCAATGGCTTATTATTTAATTTTCACAACATCCTTGGGAGCTAAATAGGTAATAACTATTATTACAGTAAAAACCCATTTTTACATAATACGATTTTAATGGAACTGCTGATTTTACAAAATGAAAGTGACTGGTAAAAAAGATTTAAGTGATACTTTTGAACCTCTAATATAATTTTATGGTGTTTTGTGTATTTTAATTCATTAATAAAGGAAACGTGTAGAACATTCCCATCATTATTCAAATAGAATAGCATAATTTTTCAATAAAATTCTTAGAGTAAATTGCCTATTTCCATTTTCTGGGAAATCAATTTTATGGAATGACCTCAGACCCATCCTATTCCATAAAAATAGGACTTTACTGTACTAATAAAAGATATCACTATCTTAAGTATGGTATCATTTTCCTTCAAGGCGTTCTATCTTTATGGACATTGGATTTTGAAAGAGCTGTAAATTCTTCTCTGTGGTATTATATAGAGTAAGCTGAGGTAATCATTAAGAATTTGCTCTTGTAGTTTAAGTTCATGATAACTTTGCTTCAACAAATAAGTGTATCTGACTCTCTTTGCTTTCTAAATATTGGAAAAATTGGCCTGAATGCATTCTCAACTTCTTAAGTAGTAGGAACAAGTTCTGCCTTACTATGCAAATCTCAAACCTTCATAAAGAGTAGCTGTAGAGTGGCAAAAGGATCACTCTTGTTTCTGCTCTTTAAGATGCCTCCAGTGCTTTCTCAGGATTCTGTTTTAAAGGGTACAGATATGATATCATGTAGCCTCAGCATCTTTGTGTGTTTATGTGTGTGGTAGAATTTACTGTTACATTCTCTATATTACTTTGAACTGTCCTTATGTGAAGACATGAATGGGAGAGCACTGTTTTTCTTTTATAATAGCTCTTCTGTTTGTTCTGATTTTTAATATTCAGTACCTTAAATGCCAGAGAAGCTTGTCAAAGCCATGTGGTGTTCAAAGAGGGCAATATGTAATGCACCTCCTTGTTAAGTTGCAAAACATCATAATAGGTTGGTGATATGAAGCAGGATGATCATAAATCAGAAAGTAATTTTTGAGGGGAGGAACTTCTATAAAATGTTGTGATTATAGCACTATTGACTTCATTCACCTTTTTCTTATCTGAGCTTACGTGTAATTCAGTATTTCATACTGAATTATAGCAGAGATGTAGGTCTACAACACCATTTAGAAACCAAACAAATATTGGTGATGTTTTATAGCTTGTGCAGTTCTCAAATTTTGGTCTTGTACCATTCAGATGGGACATAAAAGCACTAAAGACCGCTGCCCCACTTATTC